TATGTTCAAATTTAGTATTAACTCACTTTTTATTTTTTCGGCTGTTTCCCCCCTTTCTATTGCAAAGGCCCCATATACTGTATATAGAGAGCGTAAATTTCTTCAAATAGTTGTTTACATTTTGAAAACTGAAAAAAACTAAAAGTTATCTTTATATTTAAAATTTAAATGTACAATACTTTTTAAAAAAAGATTGAATTATTTTATATTATATATTATATATCTTTCATTATAAAATAAAAAATCACAAGAAAAAGATAGATATTTAATGGTGCCTGAGGGATATTCCTTCGGGTTGCTTGATAGAACCCATGATATTGTCATAAAACATCTTCATACATATAGATTATTATTTGATGTGTTAGGGAATCCTGAAAATTTTGTCGGCCGAATTCAAAGCCAATTATAAACAAAAAAAGTAAAATCCTAAAAAAAATTAATGCATATTTAGTTATGGATTGCTTTTATTTTGTTTGTGTAAATACCACAATAACGAATCATTTTCTTTAATACAAATGGTATTTGCGCTAAACCTGAAAATGACCAGAACAAAAAAAAAAATTTTTTTTTTATAATAAATCAAAAATAAGAAATAAAAAAATTTCGTATCTCCGTTCTTCTTCCATCTTTCGGTTGAAATGGCAGGAAATAGCCGGTCATCATCACCAAATTTACAACTTCTTTTAAACCAAAACGATATACAAAATAATCCTGAACAACAATCTTCCGATTCGAGTACAATGGCAGATATTACAACGAATACGCGAGCTTTACCAACAAGTACGTCAAACTTGAACTCGGCTTCAAACACAAAAGGTTATAATATTTGTCCTGGACCGAGATCTTCCGCTCTTCGCCCAGCTACCTTAAGGAAGCAAAGGTCACGTAGGCCATCTTTTCAGTCCGATCAAGTAACTCCTGATATGCGTCCCGTTTTGCATCTTTTTGATGTTTTTTCGCAAAAAATTTATATAGAAGGCTATTTATGTAAACAGGATATTACTAATTCTAATAGTGACTGGATAGAATATTACGTGGAATTATGTGGTCCTATCCTAAGTTTTTGGAAAACTGTGAACGATCCTAATTCTGAAATAACAAAAGTATCTCAAACTCCTTCCGTTTTAAATATATCTTATTGTTCAATAGATTTATCACAAAATAATAGTATGGATCAACGAATGCATGTGTTTTTTCTTGATTCTGGCCAGGGAGAAAATTTCTATTTACAAACTCCAGATGATCAAACTTTAATATCATGGGTTAATGCAATTCGTTTATCTTGCTTTGAAGGTTCAAGATTACAAGAAGTTTACACGGCAACACTAATTAAACGTCCCGGACTAAAAGATTTTGGTAATGGAACGGTATTAGTAAAGGGTAAGCTAGAAGGTTATCTTCAAGTGCAATTTTCTGGTAATGTTGAATCTAAAAAATATTGGGTCGTGGTAGCGGATCACCGTGTTGAAGAAAAAAAGAAAAAAGATTTAGCATTTACTAGAGGACAAGCTTTATTTTATGAAACAAAGAGATCCAAAAAGCCATTCATGACAGTAGCAAACGTTCTTCAAACTTACGCGATTTATCCTGAAAATCCCTCTCTTATAGATAAAACAGTTACTTTTCGTGTTGAAGGCACTCTGTTTCTTACAAAGCCAACTGAAAATAAACCTGGTGATTTTGTCATTTTGACAACTGATTCACTTAATGAAGTGACAAAATGGCTTTTTGGCTTTTTTGATAGTTTTAAATTATATGGTCGACCAAAAGAATTATTATATGATTTTAAAAATCCAATTTCTCCCTTTTTTTCTGTACCAACTGGCAGGAATAACACAAAATTATTTTTAGATCTTAATGAAATAGAACATGTTGAAGTGCATGAATCGTTAGCGGATGTTAAATCTGTGTTTGCTGAAATTTTACGTCAATCTTATAATTTACAACAACAACAATCACCTGATAATCCTCAACAATTACTTACAAGTGTAAATCAGCAAAAAAAATTAAATATACAAAGTCTTCCTCAGATTGTGACCGATGGTTTACCAGATGATTATGTTCTTCAAAGGGCAATTTCAGTTGAATCTACTACTACTTCAACAAGTTCAATTTCTCCTTCTACATTGAGACCTGCAAGTCAATCCTCACGCACTAATTCCATGACCGGAGGTTCTCAAAAAGGTTCAATTCCGACTTCGCCCGTATCACCACATTCACCTTTAACTCCTAACACTATGTCATCACAAGAACAGCCGAAAAAACGAAGTAAAAAACCAGCTAAACAATTAGCTAGTAGCGATGAATCAGAAGATCAACAAGATAATTATTCACCAAATGAAAGTGAAAATTCAGATGATGATGTATACGATGACCCAACACTCTTAAAAAATACACAAGAAAATTCAAAAATAATAGAAAAAATTAAATCAGATGAGCAAATAAACATTGGAAGTAGCTTTGGTACAAATGAAAACAGTGACTTTATGTCTGAAATTATGACTGCTGTTGCTGAACGTAAAGATGAAGATGCGTCAACCAAACCTAAAAGGAGAGTTTCATTTAAAAACCAACCCGCAAAACAGAAAGGCAAAAATAAGCAAAGACTTGCTCCACTTCCATCTGATAGTGAAGATAGTGGTGATAGTGAAGAAGAATCGTCAGTGACAAAGAGTGATGAAAATAATAGTGATGAAGACAGTAGCGAAGATTCTAGTCTGAAGAATAAAATTTTTATTACTAAACCAGGTCATAAAGGAAATAATAAGAAAACGAAAGCAAGAACTGTGCCTCAACCATCCGACAGTAGTGATGATAATGAATTAAACGATGATGATAAAAAATTGGGTACACAACCTCAACCTCAATCAAGAACATACCGACAATCTCCTCCTTACGGGTCTGGATTTAAGCAGCCTCGAGGTAGTATTATTTCAAATAACACTTATAATGTTGATAGAAATTATCCACAAGTTCAACAAAATTTATATCCTCAAGGAAATTTTGAAAACGATTTAAATGACAATATTCCATTAGGAAGAAATCCCGTGCGTAGTCGTAACATACTTCCTAGTAACAACATAGCTGCTGATGATTATCAATTTGAGATGTCTACGGAAGGTCTAGATATAGATTTTAGTGCGATAAATTTCGATTCTGAGCCTGCGAATAATACAATAGAAATCGTTGATAAGAATAAAAAAGGAAAAAAGTATTCACAAAATTTATCTTCATCTGATGATGATGAGGATGAGGATGATGATGATGGTGATGAAATTTTGAATAGAACAGGAAAGGTATTCAAGCCAACAAAACAAAAAGACAAACCAAAGAATATAACAAGACAGAATAAATCGAGTGATATCAGTAGCGATGAATCTGAAACCAAATCACTGACATCAGAAGAAGAACCATTGGCTGCATTAGTCGAAGAAGGAGTTGGATTTAACGCTAATTTTTCTAGACAAAACCTAACACCTAGGTCAATATCTCCAAATTACCTACCTAATCAAAGATGGGGAGGACTACCAATTACAGGCGATTATGTGGAAAATATGGGTTATCCTCCGATAGATAATAGGCGTAGTGTGGCGACACCACTCATTCGAGGTGGCGAATATAACGATGAGGATTATATTGGAGGGCGACCTAGATCATTGATAAACCCTGGACAGATGATGGCAGGTCGAAGACGTGTTAGTAATGGACAATTAGATTATACACGGGAATCCTTGTATTTAGATGATAGTTATGATGATCGGGGTCAATTTCAGACACCAAGCCATTTTCGACCAATGAGTTTAATAGATTCAAGACCACCATCTCAACAATTATCAGCTCGTGAACAAGAATTTCTCGCTCGGGAGACAGGCGCACCCTTAATTAATTTACAGGAGAGACAAAAGGATCCACAAACCGGATTAGTTGGAGCCATTACTGCAAGAGAAAATCAAAGAAGAGCAAAGGGTCCAGGATTATTAGCAAGGCAAGCGGAATTGGATAGGGAGAGAGCATTTGAAAGGGAAAGGGAACGTAGATTAATGGAACAACGACAACAAGCTATGATGGTGGAAAGAGAAAGAGATCTTTTATATAATCGACAGTCTTATACTGGACTTCCAATGGGTGTAGATCCAAGATCAAGTAGATTTCTTGGAAGTCAACAATATTTGGAAACAACACCTGGACAAAGAGGTTCTTATTATGAAAGCTATGTGCCATATATACAATCAGATGATGAGGACGACGATGTTCCTTTGGCTGTTGGTAATCCCATTCCACCAACAGTACCGCCGACACAATCAAGACAATCTCGTGCTATGAAGAATCGGCGTCTAGACCTCGAATAAATCCAATCGACAGTGAATCAAATCAAATCAATATTTAATAATTAATTAATTAACAAAATTTGGACATTATTTGATGAACTTCAAAAAAAAAAAAAAAGATTTCGTCCTTTAATTTATATTAGAATATGGCAGATTTTTTGCTGCAAATAATATTAGAACTTTATATTCCATCTTGGAAAATATTTATAACTTTAATATTTAATCACTGAAAAAATTGATCAAATCGATATAATATGAACATTAAACAAAAAAAAAAATAAAAATAAATAAATATTTTTTAATTCAAATAGATGAATGAAAAAAAAAAGTTCGCTGAATAAATATTTATAAATACTATATATGAAAAAAATTGATTTATTTGATAATATGCCAATGTTGTGTGATGATAATACCTCCAAAATTGTATCAAGAAAATTATTACAATCACCTTTCTTTTATGCGTGAATAACAATAAATACAAAATATACACGTGAAATATAAAATACAAAAAAGTCCATAAACTCTACCAAAAATTCTGTAATTCTAATTTTTTCTTGTAAGTAATTGTTTGAATCGTTCATTCTCTACTGTTAACTCCGCGATCTTTTGCTGCAGTTCACGAATATGAGCTTTCATTTCCAAATTTTCAGTCGTCAATCTTTCAGCCTCTTCTCTCTTTCTTTTACGACTTTCATAAGCTGCAGCTCGATTTTTAACCATACGTTCTTGACGTTTATCTCGAAGAGCAGCATGCGCAGCAGCTTCTAACAACATTGGCATTAGGTCTGACTTGACAGTTGAAGGGGTTTCTGGTGGAGGTGTACTAGAATCCTCTTCCTGTGGAGTTATTGGTGTTCCGGGAGCTGAAAGCATTGCTGGTGGTGTAGGTAGCCGCCGCTTAGCAGGTACAATAGGGATTGGTGGTCGTGGAAGTAATGGTTTCCAAATAACATTAGGTACTTCCGAGATTTTCAAACTTTTTTTCCGTGACGACGGTGTACTAACACTAACCTCAGACTTAAGAACTGCTGAAAGCTGTGATGTTTGCATACTTTGCAATTTTGACGACGATGTTACAATAATGGATGTTTGCAATGAATTCGTATTAACTTTTTCCGCCTTAACTGGTGTGTGTCTTCCTGTAAATTGTAATAATAATTTTGATTGACTTATTTCATTCTTACATAGTTGAAAATTATCCATCGTTGTTAAGACAAAAAAAAAAAAATTATTACAATTGTTCAAGAAAAGGAGAGTGTAATAAATTCGGGAGTTTATAAAGCGATGAATTGTTACACTGCCGATTTACAATGATCTTCTTAGCATCTTAGATCTCCGCAGCTTATTAACTGTTAATCACATGTTCACGGTGATCCATTTTGAAACTTATTTTTATCCAAATTAATTTTTGGATATTTTACATTCTTTTTTACTCGTATATATTTATTTAAACCAAACATTTCATTTTTGGTGTAAACCAAATTTATCAATGAAGTTGTAATAATAATAATGATAAAATGAGTATAATATTTATTTTTTAAAAAAAGCTGGTAGTTATTATTTAATCAATTACTTCTAAAATAAACTAATTTAAAAAAGAAAAATATTAATAAATTAAAAAGAATATAAATATTAAAGTTATTTATTATTATTATTATTCAATTAAATAATTATATCTGATGAAATAATATACCAATATGATTTTATAATTAAGATTAGAATTTAAAAACCCAAATCAAAAACTTAAACAAAAAAAATTTATTTATAATTATATTTTTTTTTATAAATAATATATTTATATGCTTAATACATCACTTAATTTATGGATACATATAGAAGATTTGCAGGATTCTAAGAATGTTTTATTTTTATTGCATTTAATTTTTAATGATATTAGATTTAAATGCAATTAGCAACTTGAAATTATAATTACTAATACAACTTTTTTAAAAAAATTAACTAAAGTTACAACTAATTCAAATTTACAACTGCTATCCCTTAGATTGTAGGGTTTTGCAGGCAAATTTGCCTGCTTATTTACTATAAATTATCTTCTGATTTACTTTTATAAATAATTAATATTTTTAAAAAATTTTTTTTTAAATTAATTATATAAATATATAACGATAATATATTATAATAAGTTTTATCTTTTAATTATATAATAAGAAATGTAAAGTTATTTAGAAGCTAAAAATTTGTAATTTTTAAAAAAAAATTATTTTAAAAAATTTCATGATTAATCTATGATAAACTTTTT